GCAGTCCCTTGCTAATGTATTCCTAACCCTTCATCTTAAAAATGTTCCCCCCCACTGCAACCACAAACCTGAATTGGGTTTTCTTAGATTTTATAAGATACACAAATAGTTGTATATAAGAAAATGATTCATGGTTTCTAAAGGGGTATTTTTTGTTCAAAACAAAAATTCACACAGCATGATACCTCCATCACCATGTTTCACCATAGGGGTGATGTGTTCTGGTTGTTAATCTGTGTTACTTTCCCATCACAGAAAGCAGGAAAAGAAAAGTTTTTGTCCCATCTGATCAGAACACCTTATGGCTTTCCTCTCAACACTTTGCCATAAAGGCCAAATCTCCATCTTCCATCACTCGTGGTTATCCAGCTAACGGATTCTTTCACCTGATTTGTGGAGATCTGCAGCTCATCCAGAGTTACCATAAGAAGCCTCTTCAAGACCGGACAGGACGCTTCCTGTCCTGTCCGGTCTGATTTAAACTGAGACTAAATTACACATAAATACACTCTTATTTAGTAATTTTGGCAAAGGCGGTGTATACAGAATTTGCATTACTAAAACAATTTTTTTTAAAAATTGCGTATCATTTTCCTTTCACTTAACTTTCCACTCCTTTGTGTCAGAAAATCCTTAAGAAAATATACTGAATTTGTGGTTGCAACAGGTCAAAAACGTAGAAAGGTTTAATACTGTGTAACAAGGCATTGTCGTTCATTAGCCAGGGCCGGTTAGTAACTAAAAGCTAAAGGCTGATCTGATCAGTAAAACTGTAACACATCAGTAAGATATTAATGTCATCTATAACATTAAAACAACAGAGAACAAAGTGCAAATTGAAAAACTGATATCGCAGGTTTTATGACTTGAGATTGATAAAATGAGATCAACAAGTGGATCTCTGTCTAGCTCTTCATTTTGGGCGGTTCAGACTCCGTCGCTCAATGGTTGCAAGAACAATTCAAGATTGCTTTTAAATGTTCACACAGCCACTGTGTGAAGCAGTGTTTGTCCCCTTTTCTGTGATCAAAACGAGCGAACGTGTGCTTTTCTGGTTTCAGTCAAGTGAAGGTCATGAGTTATAACCCAGCAGCAAGCACTTACCCACTTCCTGTGCTGATGGAAACGTAAATATAACGCAAGGCAGAGAAAGAGAAAGAGAGCACGACTGTTTCAATCTTTGCATTGTTTTTGAACGCTCTTACCCCCCCACACACACACGCTGCTTTCCGATCCTCATGTGGTTTTCTCCACCACGCTGTTCCTCTCGTAGCCCAGCTGCCTCATCACTTCGCTGCAGTAGGCCTCCACCTGGCCGATCTGCTCCACGTTCAGCCGCTCTCGCCACGCGTAGATCGCCTCCTTCGCGTCCCTGGACGATATGAGGAAGGGCTTGTCCGACGAGTAGCCTTGGCCGTGCGTCATGTTCAGCGCGAACCTCTCCAGCGCCGGGAAGGTGGAGAGGTTGGAGAAACGGAAGAGCCGCTGCAGCTCCTCCATGGGGCGCAGCACTAGGTCCTCGTAGCGAAGGCGCAGGTAGTTCCTCCTCACCCACGGCGGAGCGTTCATCACCAGCATCATGTCGCTCAGCCAGTTGTCGCAGATCAGCTCCATGGCGCTCGCCACGTAGCTCTCCGCCCGGTTCATCCTGTTGCTGGGCACCAGCAGCCGCTTGTACTTGTCGGTCTGCTTCTTGCTGCGCAGCACCTGGATGCTCTCCTTCACCAGGGCCTGCTTGGACTTGAGCCGCGAGTTGTGCACGGCCCGCGGGTCCCTGAAGAGCTGGATGATCTGCAGGTTGATCGCCGGGTCTCTCATCAGCGGGACCAGGGTGCTCAGGTCCAGAACGCGCACCCCCTTGATCACCATCACCGGGTACTTCTTGCACTCCCTCTCCAGCTCCCGCAGGTCCCGCTTCTGGCACTTGGCGCACCGGTCCTCCCTCACCAGCCCGATTTCGTGGCGCTGATGCGCGTCGCACAGCGGCTCCGAGCAGATCACCTTGTTCATCTTCCAGCCGAAGATGAACGCCGTGGTGATGTTCTGCGAGCCGGCGTAAAGTTTGAGGACGGAGAAGTCGCAGCGGTACAGGGAGTTCATCATGTCGCGCACCGCGCCCTGCAGGCTGCCGGCGTCGCCGGGGTACAGTGTCTGCCAGATGTGCCACATGGGCTCGTACAGGTAGAAAACGTCCGGGTGCTGGTTGAACAGCTCCCCCAGAAACGACGATCCGGTCCTCCAGGTGGCGTGCAGATAGATGTGCGTCCGGGACTGGCTCTTGTTCGTCGGCGCCGGGTTCTCCGCCGCGTCGCTACCGTTTGCTTTGAATCCGTTATCCCAGAGGAGAGCCACCGTGTTCTCCAGGTCGGGGCATCTGGGCTGTTGCTGCGGCAGTTTGGCATTCTGGGCGGATTTATCCCGGTTATCTAACACATAGGGGATCAGCAGAAGTAAGCCTGAATATGCCAGAATCAAAACCAAGTACTTCTTATGGAGCCTCCTCTTCATTTCCTTACGCCGAGATGGGGGGCTGGAAGCTTGTTTTCACGAGAGTCTGCGGCGCAGCGGTCTGTGGAGCGCCCCGGACGCTACTGTAAAGTTATTCCTCTGTGTGTTAGTGCGGGTGTGCATCATTTGTCATCCGGTGAGGCAGAGCGGCGCTCTGGGTAGGCGTGGTGTCAGACGGCGCCTTGCCCCCACCCGGAGGCGGTCCGATATTACCGTGTTGTTATTGTTTACGTCCGGAAATTTCGCGCATGCGCACAACGCTGGAGGGCAAAAAGACTGTTCTTTTACATAGCGGCGCTGCCGAGGTAGAATAGTTCTGCCAGCAAAAAGGAACCTGGAGATGTAGGTATTATTATTTATTTTTAGTGCAATTCACCACAGCAGAGGGAAAAATAATGCAGAAAAACCTTTGAAGAATAGCTAAAAACCCACTCATAATCTTCTTTTTTCTTGCTCTCAGTGTCGGCTAGGCTACACGCAGACTCGTTTCCCACAGCAACTGACAACCACGAATGTTATCAAGAATCAACATACTACAAGACAGGCAAGATGGATACTTTTCATAAATTGTTTCAGATGGAGATTTCCATGGGAAGTTTATGTCCTAAATGGAAAATGGAAAAACAAAAATTATTTTTTTTGCTATCTTTTTTGTTGCTTTTTTTCTGTTGCTAGAAATGAACTAAAATCATTTTATATATAGACCAACAAAATGGAAAAAAAAAAGGTCCCAAAAAAGTTAAATGACTGTAAACATTCAGGAAAATGTCAGACTACTCTTGGTTTCATTAAAAAATATTACTTGTTTAATTTATTGTTGTGCAGGTAAAGGAGAGAAAAAAAAATCCCAATAATATTTATGCATTATCGATTGGGGAAAAAATAGAAGCAAATTTTGGCCCCAGAGGACTTTCTACTCAGGGACTTTGGCCCTTGTTGAAAAAATGTTTGGACACCATTGCTTTAGATGATTTATTAAATATCATTATGTTTCTAAAATAATGGCCTATGTCTTTTTTGTTGTTGTTGTGTTTCCGGAATGCTTTTTACAAAAATAAAAAAGTCACAACCTCTTTCTTGTCACAAGATGATTTACATAAAATCATTATATATTAATTTAAATTTTTCCTACATTTTATTTATTGATTTATTTCCTTTACCGTTTCTGAGCTCAGAGGATAAGGATACATGTTTATTTTGTTTCCTTCCTACACCCTGCCTGACTGGAAGCAGGAAGCAAACAGGCAAGGATGTGATCCTCTGGACTGGAGCTGGTTTTGGTGCCATATAAAAAAAAAAAAAAGAAAAAATCTTATTCCAACGTTCTCTATAGAAACTTTAGCAGCTTGACATACAACATCAATCGTTGCTATGACAACAAAACAAGCATGAGACAGACATTAAGCAGAGATCCAGCCCCTGTGACTACACAGTAACGCTACATTATGCATCTGCCCATCCACACATATGTGTAACTATTGGCACTTCTGTTGTTCTCTAGAATATTAAACCAGTGGCACATAGTTCAGTTCAAATATAATAATACAGACTGTTACAGTCTGCATTAGACTGTAATACAGACTGTACATGCATCAGTAGCTGGCAACATGGCACTCTGGAGCACCTGTGGCTGTGATGGCCTCTTTGCTCGCAGCCATCACCGTCTACAATAACTCTTTGATTAAGCAACATCAAAAAATATTGATTCCCTTTGGGATCAATATTTTTTCATTAAATTTGATTTGAATTAAATGTGCTCAACTCAACTCAAAGGTGACTTAATTCTCAGATCTAATTCCAGTTTCAGCAGCTAGAAGGCAGCTTTGAATTTTATTGTTGCTCGTTTAGCAACAATAAAAGAGCAACAATAATAAAATAGTAATAAAAACCTGACTTTATATTACTCGATAAAATGTAATCTCTTTATCGAATAATGTATTTGTCTCTTACCTACACAAAAACTTCTTCCACACCGCCTCAACATCACTACCCGAGTCATTAAACGGTTGACTGTAAGGGAACGGGTCTTGTGTTCGTGCGTTTGTTCGGGCAAGTCACGCCCCGCTACAAATAAATAAAGAAACCACGAGATAAATTTTGCTCATTAATTTAATATTTTAAGCACTTACTAAGTAGCTTAGCTTAGCTTGACGAAATAATCTATTTATTTTCCTCTTTGTGGAGCTGTTCAGAAACTACTGAGAGTGAAAGCGGGGCTATGGTTAAATCTGTTTGTGGGCGGAGTTTAGTAAACTTAGAAAATGACAACAAGCACCAAGAACATATATTAAAAGGAAGATACAAGTGCCCAACTTCTGGAGAGAATGAGCACAGATGTATTTCGTTGTGAAAGATTAATTATATCCGTAAATTTAGCCGCTATTAGCATTAACCTTGGAACCATTCGGATGAAAAAGAAAAAAAAAAGAAGAAAAAAAACACGCCTCTACATCTTGCGCATGCGCACTTGCTCTTATTTCCAGAGAAACAAAGCGCGGTAATGCAGAAAACGATTAACAAAAACAGCTTAACGTCTCACATTTTTGTAGTAAATAAACAAATTTCGACCCACTCCGGGTTTTGGCAGAGCCACCAAAGCGGCTACATGTCAACGACTGTCAGTTGGATGCAGCTGTAGTAGCCTGAAGCTAACTGCAGCATCAGTAGCTGCGGTAACATGGCACACTGGAGCACTTTCGAAAAGGAGACGGAGAGAGAGTCGAAGAGGCTGATCAGGTGCATCACCGGAGTGCAAGACGAGGAAGACCAGAACTTCCAACTGGCGCTGAAGTTCGCTTGGTCAAACTTCAAGTGAGTCCGTCCTGCGCTGGTTGAGTCGGAGCTAGCCTGTCAGCAACGTTAGCTAGCTGCAAGAAGGTGATGCTAAGCTTGGCTAACTGTGTGCTCCCTCCGGCAGATTTCATCGGTATTTGGATGCTGACAGTCATAAAATTCAACGCACAATCAATGGGTGAGTAAGTGTTTCCAGGGAGGTGTCGTCTAATTTTCTCACTTCCCTTTAGGTACGCGGTTGTTTTCCTCTACTAGTTTGTGCTATTCACAGTTCCCACGCACTCTGAAATATTTTGATTTAATCAATTAACTGCTCTGGATTAGTATGGAAAAGAAAGTAGAGTCTGGAAAATATGTGTATTTTTAGACTATTCTCAGTCTTATTGTCTAAATGTCTCATCCATCATTGCACTCTGCGGGTTTTGCACGTTCTATATTCCAAATTTGGCCTTGATAAAATGTATTAAATTTATAGTGTCCCTTTTTTATTTATACATCGGCAATGAAGCAAAAACAAACAAAAAAAAAAGTCAAACTGCACAACCTTTAGTATCAAAATAGATGACATTACATATTAAGAGCAAAGCATAGTTTTTATGATGGTGTGAAAAGATAAAAAAAAATCTTGTAATTATAAGAATTGTGTCGCTCATGGTCAGAACTAACCTTGTAATCTTAGTTCAGATTTTTCCTTTTTCTAGACTTTTGATCACATTTTACTCCCCCCCTACCCCCATTTTCGGACAGTTCTTATGCTGCGTAACCGTGACAACAATGTGTTGCTCTCATAACTGATTGGCATCCCAAAACTTCAAATCCTACCTGAACTGTGACCCCAAATCCTAGGGGAGTTGAAAATGAAACTTCATGGATGCAAAGAGAGAGAAGGAGGAAGTTCGATCTCTCTCCTCTAATCCACAACCCTAACTACTTTCTGACTGCCGAACTGATTAAAAGAGAAGCAGCAAATGAGGTGGATTAGCAGACCTTGCCAATAACTGATTGCGTCATCCGTGTTACTGTTGCATATCGTCTCTTCTGCCTGGATTTGAGCCTTTTAGCAAGTCATCACCGTCAGTGATGCAGCAACAGTTTTCAGTAAGAGGCCACTTCGGATTAGTTGCGAGACTGCTACCAGAGATCCACAATGACTCATTGGATACACTTTGAAGTTATGACTTATGACTTTCCCTGCTTTCCCTTTTGAATAAATAAAATGTGTTTGAACTGAATTTAATGAGCTAGTTGTTACTGTTGTTGTTGAAGTCCTGGAATAATAGTAATTAATTGTATTTATGTTCATACTTTTTTGTTTTTTAAATGTACTTATTTGATTATTTTATTATTATTGCAAAGTTTTGCTCAGTATGTACATTTTAAATGTTTAGTTGAATGACAATAATCTCTAAATGAACACACCTAATCAGGTAGAGTCAGACTAGATTTTTCAAACATTTTCTTTTTCTTTTAGTATTTTTTGTATTTAGTCTATTTCTCAAATTTTTCTTTTCCAGTTTAAAGTGTATTAGAAGCGTAAGAATTTGTTCTATCATAATGAAATAAATGACCCATATTGCACAATGCTGTTATGCATAATCTGGGGTTTTTCTTCTTCTTCTTCTTCTTCTTCTTCTTCTTTTGTATTATTATTATTTTTTTAAGAATCTATGAAAAGCTGATGGTCCACTCTGACCTGAGTAAGGCGGGCAGCTGGAGGAGACTGACCGAGGAGTTCCTGAACTCACCACTACCCAAAACCAACGGAGCGAAGGTAATGAACAGAGTGTGAAAATTTAAAACACGAATTCTCATACGAGCCAACACATTTTTATCATGTCCTGCGTTTCTTTTCTCTCTCTCTTTTTTTTTTTTTAATGCCACAATATCCTGATAGCATATGGGGAAAACAGTGTTCCAGATTGCATAACCTTCCACTAAACTTTCAAACTCTTCCACTCACTTTTTATTTATTTATTTTTTTTAGACACACACACACTACGGGATCCTGTCTCTGCTGCTTTTCTTGTCAGATTCTCCCTCAAACACAAACTTCACTGAGAGACCCAGAGTGAAAGATGCCGGTGAGCTTTTCTTCTGCTATTTTACACTTTGGAATCATTCACCTCCCTCCCCCTCGCCCTCAACAATTAACTGCGTGTCCGTTCAGAACCGGAAGATGAGTTCGACTGGGCCAAGTACCTCATGGAAGGGGAGGACGTGGACGCCGGGCCGTTCCCGGACACGCCGGTGGGTCTTGGAACGACGACGCCCTTTAAGCGCGTTTCCATGGCCGTATGTTGTCACCTCGCTCTTCCGTAGGAGTGGTCGGAGGATGAAAGCGAGGACGACGACAGGCAGCAGCCAATCAGCAGGGAGGACTCTGGGATCCAGTTGGACAGAACCCCCCAGGAGGACCAGGACACCACCAGCAAGACGGTGCCAGTCGCATGGACGGGTGCGTCGAAAACGCAGCAACAATCGTAGAAATCATTCGCGGTAGAGCCGCAGACTGGAATGTGTTTAATTTTCCGTTTATTGTTGCCATAGCAGAGGTTTCAGTCTGGAATGGAAATTGTCTGTGAATATCACCTTTTCCAGTCTTGCCTACTGGATTCTCAGTTGGATTTAGGTCTGGGATTTGATTAGGCCGTTCTAACCGAGGGTACTTCATTGTGGCTGTGGCAGTATGTTTAGGGTTGTCTTCCTGGAAGGAGAAATTTTAAACTTTAAATCTTGCATCCTTCCATCCAATTTTGTCCTGTATCTAGTTTATTTACACTTCATGTTCCTGAATAAAAGAAAAGAATCATCAGTATGATGCTGCCACCACCAGTTTTTTTTTAGTTGGGATGGTGTGTTCAAGGCTATGTGTTAGTTTTACTGTCACACGAAGCCAAAATGCAATGGTTTATAAACTAACAGTTATTTTAAATGCGTATCTCTATACATTGGAAGTCTTTCAAATTTTTATTTGTAAAAGAAAAAAAAGTACATTATTTATTTTATTTTTTTTACATGTACTTCCTGTTACTTTGTCGGTCTGATGCAAAAATCCCAACAGAACACATTAATTTTTTGAGTTGCAATCTGACAAAAAATGTGGGAAATTGCAGGAATAGTGTGTTATAGCTTTAAAATAACCACGTTTTGGTATGTATTTTTTATTTTTACTTTTTCCCCAGTGGGGGAACCAGACGCCCGGGCCTGGCTTGAACAGCATGTGGTGACTCCGTACTGGGTCGCTCACGCTCCTCGTTTCCCCCACAGCTTGCATTTACACTCCAACCTGCTCAACGTTTGGTAAGATGTCAGACTCCTTTAAGATAAAATTTGACTTTAATCAGTAACATGTGGATCTGAACTAGTGGGGGGTGGGGGAAATTCTATTTTAATATTGGTATCAAATTTTAATGTGGTATAAATCATAAAAGTGGGCTTGCTAGAAGTTACAAATTACACATTTGGAACTATTACATAGGAAGTGAATCTTAATACTATGCAAATCAATGTATTTTTTTTTTCTATGTTCCACATGACATAAACAACTTTTCCTCTTATTCCTGAGTTGAAAGGTTGTGTGACGTTCAGGTGTTCTCGCTTTCAGGGACCAGCACTTGTATAACACAGATCCTCTGTATCTGCCAGAAGAAAAAGCCTTCGTCACCGAGACTCAGGTCGTACGGGAAACCTTGTGGTAAGAATCCGGTGACGCTGAGCCTACTCACTCGCTGCACAAAAGCACACAGAAAAAGATCTTCTGTTCCTCTCACACGAGTTTAAGTGTCTTGTTGAACCCGGGACTCACGGATCCTCCCCGGATCGATGAGGTAATTGTGTTGGCGTATTGATTTTTTTTTTTGTCACGGGGATGATCTGTGTGTTTTTCAGGCTTCTCTCCGGGGTGAAGAAACACTTTATATTCCAGCATCATGACGGCAAAGTGTCGGTGAGGAATAACGTGGTGGTAACCCATCTGACAAGTGTAAGTTGTTTTTTGTTGTTGTTTTTTGAAGAGGGGAAAAAAAACACAAACATTAATTAGTTGTCGATTAATGGTTTATAAGTTTAAAAGTAGTTCCAAATCGATTAATAATGTCCGCTGAGACCTTTTTCTTTTAGTGTTGTAGTTTGCCCTCCATCCAGCAGAGGTCGCCGCTGGTCATCCTTAAGCAGATCCACCTGATACAGGAATAAAGATGGCAGAATGGGAAAGAGAAACGGTCAAAACTGAGTCCGGTGTGGGATGGGAAATGCGCTGAATGTGATTCTATTTTGAAACAAACACTCGGCAAGCTCCTTAAGCTATCACCTCGATATCGCTAAATACCTGCTGTCATCAGAGTCATTTGTAATTAGCTTACATTGTCCTGGTGTTACTGTAACTACTGATTTTACCTTTACCGGTAAAAAAAAAAATAATAATAATTTGGATTTTGAAATGCGGAGTGCAAGTGTGCCATATTATTTCAACTTTTCTAAAGTAACATCACATCAGCAGACAAATGCTGAATTCACAGAAAACAATTTAACAAGTTCAGTATCTTATATTTTCCCCCCAACAGTGGCAGCAGCCGACAGCAGGAAGAGATTAACCTATTAGATGAGTACCAACTATAAAAATAATATAGAAATAGTTTTTTTCCATATGTATAAAGCAATTAGTTTGTATTATTCAGTGTTTCTTTTTAAAAATATATATATTTGTTTGTCATACTAGCATTTTGCTCATGGGAGCCCCCTGGTGGTGCGGGGGTCCCTAAGCTGGTGCTTAATTCACATGTGCCTTGGGCCGGCTCTGTGTGAGTTTGTGCACTTCATGGAGGGAAGTTTTAACATTCTGAACATCTCTCTGTTCATTTGGAATTGAGTATTTTTACATATTATTTTCATCTCTTCACCTCTTAAGAGAGTTCCTGTTTTGTCTAAATTTACCAGCCTGAGAAAACCATAATTTTTCGTTTATTCTGTCCAAATTGAATACCGCTGGCTGACCCGAAATACTGCTAAAATTAAACAAAGTTTTAAGATTCAGCTTGTTGTGGAAAATGTAGCCTTTACATTATAGAAACGCGACGCAAGAGAAAATGGCCTTTTATCAATTAAGCACCCGTCAATTGGTGAGATCCTTCAACTTTGGATTTACTCATTAATTGATAACTTGCATCCCTAATTGCTGATGTTATACCAGGTGCTTTTTCTTTTCTTTTTTCTTTTTTTTTTTTGATAAAAGGATGTCGTGTTTTTGTTCTGCAGAACTGCCTGCACTCTGTGCTGGAACACGTCGCCGTGTACGGACAGGCGGTGTTCAGGCTCCAGAGGTTCATCGACGAGGTGACGGGCCACAGCTCCGAGCCCGGCCCGCCAGGCTCCGCCTCCTCCCACGGATACCGAAAGGGCTCGGAGCCGCCTTTCAGGACCTACCAGGCTTTTGTTTGGGCTCTCAACAAATACTTTGCCAGCTTCAAAGAAGAGCTGACCGCAATCGAGCGAGAGGTCATCAGCAACGGTAAGCAGTACAGCAAGCTTCGAGTTCACTATCGTAAAGAGTTTGTTTTGGATTTCCTTTGACAACAGAGCCACAGCAGAGCTTCGCCATTGACTGTGTAAACAGTGAGAGGTCCTGGGGATGCCTGGGTCTCATTCTGTTTCTTTTATTTTCCAAGTCATTTTTCAGGGTTGAATAAATACGACTTTAAATGGCCGTAGGCTATTTATGTTTAAAACCATTTAAAATCGCTGTTTGTTCCTTAAATTGGCCTAAAATGTCTGAGCTACGCAAACACAGTTGCATATATTCCGAGGGACAAAATCTTTCG